CGGCGGTGTCCAGCGCGCGGAGCTGCTGCAGACGCTGTCCGAGGAGCTCCAGCAGCTCCTCATACCGTCCTACTCCTGCGGCGGCGTCCCTCGTGTTCCGCGCGGTTTTGTGCGCACTAACCAGGACGCGGGTCCAATTTTCGCCTCGGAGGGCCAGGTCAACTTGAGCACCGGCGTACGGCTGCAGGATGACCTGGCCGTTATTCGACGGTGGCGCGAAGGTCCGGTTTCCGGCCAAATAGGCCATACACCACAGGTACGCTTCGTTGGGATCTGTCCGGCAGTTCCGCTGCCGGGCGCAGGATGGCTGCCTCTCCTCAGTGGCCAATAGACCGGCCTCTTCCGCCGCGAGGCTACACTCGCGCTCACGCGCACGGGCTTCCTGGGCGATGTTATGCCCAATTTCAGCGATGTCGGATTCAAGCCCGCGGCGCAGCTCAAAGTAGGCCTGGACGGCGGCGCTAACACGGGTTAGCTGGAGGAATACCCGAAGCTGCAAATATATATTTTTATTAATATATTATAGATTTCTATTTAAATTAATATATATTATCTATTACTTATTATTTATTCAATAAATTTTTTTTTAATTAATTTATTTTTATTACCATACTACGGCGCCCGGCAGCATTAAGCGCGAACAGATGTTGGTGGACCGGTCCGTAGTTGGCAGCATTGTGTAGACCGGCATCCCATAGCAGGCATAGCTGCTCCGCGGTCATGTGTGCGGTAAAAATAGTGCGGTCATCTGCCATTTTGAGCCGTAAGAGTACAAATAAAAAAAAATATTAGAAATTTCAAGATCAGTACAGCGCAAACTAAATTTTTTTCGTATCTGTCTTGGCCTCGGGATATTTTGTGTTGCCAGGTGGTTTTAATAATATGTATGTACTGTGATTAGTATACATGATGTATGTACGGATAGAGTACGTGTACAAAATATGTATTTATAATAAGTACTGTATGTATATTTATGTATTACGTATGTACTGTGTATACTTTAATGTTGGATGTATCAAGTAGTGTACTGTAAACTATTAAATGTATACATATGTAAATTAAATTAATAAGTATGTACAGATGCTATGTACTGGAAGTGTGTACATGCATATATGCCAACTGCCGGTTGACTTTTAACCCGTATATATATATGCACCTGGCGGGATTAACCTTTTGGCCTCGGCCGTTGCGACCGTTGGTCATTTTTTAATTTATTCTATTGTTGTACCTAATTAAATATGTAAATCCCGGCTACTTTTACAGTACTGTCTACGGTAACTTTGCACAGCGTACAGCTTACAGCTTAGCTCACATAATTATTATTATAAGAAGACATTTTGCAAAGTGCAGGGTGATAGTACTGTAATAAACTAGTAATAACAAAAGTTTCGGTTTACGCGACGAAGAACAGGTTCGACGAATTCATTCAAATAACATTCATACTGGTGTTTCTATTAAGGGAAGAGTGCGGGTACATATTCGGGTACAAGTGCCGAAACTTTCGCTTTCGCGCCATTCTGTCGCCATTGTTTTATGAATTCAAAAGCCAAATGATTTGTATGAAATATAACAGGTACTGTACAATGGCAAGGAAACCCGTGTACAATAAATGCGCGCAACTCCGGTTGTGCAGTTAAGGGTGAAATAAAATTCCAGAAGTTTAAACGCACGATGGCACCAAAAGTTTCCTCATAAATCGATCCTCTCTAAATCTTGCATGTATAAGCGCAACATTATCATGACGATCGCTTTTACACCGAATCAACTTTCCAAAGAGTTTTCCAAATATCAAAACGAATCTTAGCAAATTTAAAAGTTAACTTGAAATTTGATCTTCATGGTAATGTTCATTTTCGTGCAAAATTGAAGGGGATTGCTTTATAACGAGGGTTTCGGTACATCCCCGCTTTTGGAATTTTAATTCACCAATAATTTCCAACCGGATATTCGGTATTGGCGCGGAAACGGTTTTCACGCCAAATGAGTTGTTCATAAAACAATTCAAAAAAGTGGTTGGGAGACGTGAAATTGAGTGGTTTAACTTACCACATGTATCCGGATCTGGTATCATGTACCGGCATACATATTTCCGTTAATTCAATGAAAAATGTTCAAAAATCTAATGGAAAGCGCCAACGGCACATTTCGCCTGTTACTTTTTCAGACGATTACCGCGCTGCTCATACACGGCTCTTATGAGGCGCAGGCCGTCGCTTAGCTCCTGCAGCGTCAAGCACTGCGTGGCGTTGGTCAGGACGACCATTTCCGTGGCGGTGGTCATTAGCGAGATGATGCACATGCCCATGGAGCAAGCGTTGTTGCTGGCCTTGTCGAAGCTGACCGTCAGACATTGTTTGCTGCGGTCCTGGGCAATGACCGCGTTCCATAATGGGCTGACGCGGCGGTCAAACAGCCGCTCATTCATGCTCAAATAGGAGAGAATTTCCCGCAGGAGTACCTGCGGAATCGCCATGGCCATTTGGAAAAACTGTTGCGCCAGGGTGGCACGCAAAGGATTGATAGTGGGTCGGATGTTGGGCGGTGTCCAGTGGCCATCGGCATATGTCCAACCGGTCTGTAGACGCCGTGCCATTTGCGCTTTGGCCCTTTCATTTACTTGAACCTGTTAGTTGTGAAAAGTGAAAACACGATTAGTTATTTGGCTTAGATCCGCTTCAAGCAGGCACAACGAAGCCATTTCGACGTTTCTATGTTTTTCGTATAGTACTGTAGCCGCTAGATGAAGTGGCTCCACAGAGTCTGGTATACGGGAAAATGCAAGCCCAATATACGCACATTGCTCCGTGCAGAATTGTTTTGGTTTCAAACAATTTTGACTCTGATGCTGACGTTCTACATGTTTTACTGAGTTTTATTATTTTTTAGCAAGGTACAATAATTATTGTAAGAGCATAATGTCAGAGCACTGACAGTTTTCAATTTATAAACCTGGTTTGTTGTGGTTTTGGGGTGCCTGGCAGGGGCAGGCAACAGTTTATCGAAAGCAAAGTGTGCGCCTCTCGGTGGGGAAGGCTCGTGCTCAATGCCCGGCCAGAGGCAGGCAGCGGTCGGATCTAACAGTGGAGCCACTTCATCTAGCGGCTACAGTATTAATATACAGCTTCGTACATGATTTAAATAAGAAATAGTCATATGCCTTATCAGCCCTAACGCACTTCCTCCCAGCGCGCAGTTTAATACTTGAGCAGCGACGCCTGCCGGAAGACAGGGGCATCTTAGAGGGGAAAATTACACAGTTTTAAAAATAATAAAAAAACTGAAGTTCTAAAATTATTTTCGAACCTTCAACAGTTACCATCGGAATGTGTATAGTATAGTACTATAATGCATACTTACGTATATATACTTATCAGTTCAAATTTAGCATACCGGTAGATTCGTACTAGCTTATCTGCTGATACTGGCGTTGGGTGCCTCGCGTTATTCTGCAGATATATGAGGTTCTCATTCCGCACGCACGTGGCGTATGCCATGGAGGCGTACCCCATCAGCTCTTCCGCCCACAAACGACACAGCGCCGGCTCCGCGGATTGTCCCGCTAAAACTCCGCCGGGAGTTTACACTCAGCGTAATATAATCATCCGGTACGACAGTGCACACCTGCCTCTCCGGGCGCCGAAGCCGCACAACCCGGGGGCTAACAAATTTGGTCACGACACTTCCATCCATATTAATTCGGATAAGGGCGTATTTATCCCACAGAATCCGGCGCACCAGGAACACCGCCGGGTACCACGTCCACGGGCGGTCGGCGGTCGTTCTGGCGAGGACCTCGAAGGTAGCCGGCGAATCAGGGTGTCTCAGCGGCCGTTATACTCCTTGTCCCAGTCGCGGGCGGGAGCGAAACTCTTCTGCTGCGAACTGAGGCAGTACAGCGCCTTTTGGTGTTCGACGAGCGCCGACCTTCTGCTTCGAAATCCACGAGCAGACCGCCGGAGACGGTTTCGATAACCAGACCGCGCTCGAGAATTCCGTCGGAGTTTTCCACATCCACCGCGTTCCAGTGATAGATATCGGTGCCAGGATGAATCTCACACGAAGACGGCGGGTCGGAACAATCAGACGATCGGATTCTACTGGTGCGCATTTTCTTGGCAAACCATGTACAGTTCTTTTGCCGTTGCAGTGAAATTATGGCTCGGAATGCGCTTTCTGTAGTCTATAGAAAATAAAGAAATAACAAACATGAGAAACACTATCGTACGTATGTAGCGACGATTTTTATTCATCGTAATAACGATGATCGTAATGCTTGCTTATAAATAAAAGCTGTTCCGAATCTGTGGCTGCAGTCCATGCTGTTATGGTGCTGTCCATGCTTGTCGATGCTGCGCTGTACCAAGTGCTGTGTGGAGCCAGAAGGCGGGCAACGCAGCTGCCTATTTCTCTATCCGGACTGATTTCATGTACGTACAGCTAGCCCGAGAACAGTGGACGGGCAGCAAGGGGTGAAATAATTCTGTTCATATCACTTTGCATTAGCCGAGACCGTAATAAGTGTATTTTCCCCTGCTACAGAGATAATGGATTTGTCTTTTGTCGAAATGGATTTGTCAAGAGTCAGCACAATTATCAAGGAAGTTCACAATAGACCAGACAGAGTGAAGGTAGTAGCTTGCAAGTGTGTGGTGAAGACCGATGAGCTGTAATTGAGAGACTCCAAGAGAAAGACCAGTGGTCGACTGGCCGTTATTATCGAGTAAAGCTTCAGGTAGCCATCTGAGGTGTGATCTGTACACGCACCCCTTTAGATCATAGTTTCAACCGAACAGACGTATTTTAGCAAAATGTTAGTACATTTTTCTTCGAACATCCACAAGCACGAACTCAGTGTGGCCAATACGGTTCTGATCAACCATGGTAATGGTAAATGGTTGTTGGGGTTTGTGCACGATAATGCTCCTGATCAGCTACATGAGTCGCACCACTTCTTCTAGAGGATCCTGCTTGTGTTCAGAACCAGTATGTATGGGCCTGTCAGCTCCTTCGGAATGGGAGCTCAGATACACCACCATGAGCGAGGAGTACGATGGGCCTTTTGTTTTTCATCCTGCCATACTGTTGTTTGATTTCCTCCAGGACCAACTGGAAAATTTGTGCTACGCTCAAATTGCAGTTACGGAAAAACGCCGCCGGAAGTCTCCAAATTTCACTACTATGTTCCAGTAAAGCGAAGTCGGAATTTGCACTTCAACTAGGAAATGACTTTTGCTTTGCTTTTTCCTTACCCTAACATGACGCAAGCAGTGTAGACTAGCATATGAAATGTAACAATAAATTTTTCAATAGTTTGTGCTATTTTATCCAAGAAGTTCAGCTACATCGTCGGGCAACTCTTCAATTTTTGTGCCATAGTATCGCTCGAGGTCCTTCACAAAAGCCAAATCATCTGTCGTCACAAAGTTGATGACACATCCCTTTCGCTCCTTACCGTCCCGGCCGCCAAAGCCAATCCTGTAAATACGTAAATGGTGTTGTAAAGAAGTGGATGAATGCTGTTGTCCCGTATATTTGTACAAAGCGCATAATAAAAACTTTACTATAAAGTATTGTAAGGAAAACGGCGCTTACCGGTGAATGTATTTGTCACGGTCACCTGGGAGATCATAGTTGACCACCAGATTCACCTTCCGTTCAAATACGATGAGCGCTTAACGCTCGGTCGTTACCAGGACGGGGAAAGCGCCATTGTGAAACCGTTCGAAAACTGCATCCCGGTCGTTCTGATGCATGTGGCCATGCTAAAGCGATACGTATCGTGGTTCGCTTTTCAGGAAATATGAACGAGGGTACTGTAATCAGGCTTACTATTCCGGCAACTGTGGGTTGTCTTAGTTGTCGGACCAGGATATCGACCTCGTCGCGGGTATTGCAAAATATAACGCTCTGCTCCGCTCTAATGTCAGTCAGCAAATCACACAGCTTACGTAGTTTCTGCTCCTGAAATTATGTACCGTTATTAGACTACTTCGACTTTCCTTATTAGGAAAGCTATGCTTTTCGTACAAGGGTCACCGGAAACCTGAATTCACATGTAAGCTCGGAAGTTTTTCAGTATCCGCGCGCAGAGTGTTATTACTGCAACATGGTGTCCTTACACGATATGATATATGTAGCATAAGGTTTGCTAGCAGAGAAGAGTTGAAATATGAAAGTGATATTCTATGGTCTGGTTACAGAATTTGTTACGTGCCTTTATGTCCACCGTTACGAAAAATTGTCGAACTCCACTTAAGTCCGGTTTCTCTTCTTCCACACCGGCTTCGATCGTTAAACGAACCGGATCGCGCATGAAATGCCTCATCAACCCGAAAACTTTAGAGGATATTGTCTTGGCTGCCACCACCATCTGCAACCCAGTAAAAAGCAAGAGTTTTTTTAACGCATTTTTCAAGCATAACCAAAGAACAAACCTGAACTCTTTCCGGTAAGTTCTTCAAGATCTCATACATTTGATCGGATAGGCCCCGCATCAGAAGTTCATCGGCATCATTCATCACAAACGTTTTAATATCGTGTGTTCCTACAGATAAAATGTTGTACTTTGTTAGCTCTTGCTCTTAAAATACATGCCTTTTCAGTTGCAATGTAACAACGGCTTACTTAGCGATCGTCGTGATATCATATCACAGATGCGACCGGTCGTTCCCACGACAATATGTCGACCTCGGTTCAGTCCCATCATGTCGTTGATAATGTTTGTCCCGCCAACACTTACATGGCATTTCGCTTCCGTAAATTTTCCCACTGTCTGTATCACTCTTTGAACCTGGAATAAGCACACCGAGTATAAATGGGGATACGCAATTATCTACTTCCTTTTGACTACAGTACGGACTTCTTGCGCTGATTCTTTGAATGGTACAAGGATTAAGGCTTGACACTCTGAATTGCTGGCATCGATGTTTTGGAGGACAGTCAGCGCAAAGGTTGTCTTTTTGCCGGTCCGATTGGGACTTTGCACTACCACATCACGACCTGCAGTAAATAAGTAAGACAGTATATAATTCAGCTTCTATCAGTTCATTGAAAGAGCGAGCGACGTTCAACGTTGCAAGTCTAAGTCTTAAAATAGGTCGACTGTAAACCAAGTCACAAATACCTTGTAGAAATGATGTTAGCACTCGCTGCTGCAGTGGATATGGTTTAAAAAATCCGCAATCCAAGATGCCAAGCAGCAATGCCGGTTTCAAGTTCATATCGTCAAAATTTAATGTCTCCACAAATTGTTCTTCTTCTTCACGTCCTATCTAAGACCACAGTACCGGAAGTTCAGCTAAACCCTTTTATAATGACATTTCTGTTGCTATAGAATCAGCCTAAACGAATTTTAGGTGAAGGCTCCTCATACCACTTTTTACCATCTTTGGCTCCTAATACCTTTGTTAATACCGACAACCTTTTGCACACCACTTTCGACTCCGCATACCACCTTTTTCTGATATAAATAATATTTTCAAATTTCTATCCATTTAAATCTAATTTAGACATCTGGAATGATTGAATGATCAGCTTGCGTAGCTAATCTTTATCAACGCGCTGCATTTCGCGCAATGTCGCATAACAGCGGAATCAAATCCCAGATTCGCTTCGCAGTTCTCTCGACCCGTTCGTCGTCCAGGGCGTCTTTTTTATGGAAGCCGTTTTTTTCTCAAAGCATTCTAAAGTCCACAGTAAATGGTCAGGAGTAACTACTAACAACCTTTTTTTATTCTGCGCATTCTCGTATCGGACCCGCAGCTGCTCGTCTGGCTCATTTCAGCCGTAAAACTTCCAAAGTTCTACCTTGGCTTGGTCAGTTAGCTTAGAGTCGAGGCTGCGATGCAGTACCACTCCCTGTGCGCCTATATCCCTGTTTTTACCGCAATTTGATCAGGTAACACAAAATCTTTTACTCGTACGTTTCTTAGCCTTCAACGTTTATGAAATATCGTACAACATCTCTAATCTATTATTTTTTTAAAGCCTAAAAAATTTATGGTGGTATGCGGAGTCAAAGGTGGTGTGCAAAATGGAGAATTAGAAGCCAAAGGTGGTAAAAAGGTGGTACCTATTTGGAGCGAACGGTGGTGTCAAGGTTGTATGCAGCGCCTGTACCTGATTTTTATAGCAGTTAAACGTAAACCTAACTTTGGTGATTTTTGTCACGAACCTGATCCTCCGGGTTGCCGTTATCCTGCTGCCTCCAAGACCGGTTACTTGCAGCGACCGAAATATGTCGACTGCAACACATCGTTAATACGTAATACCAAGTCTTGATGCGTTGGCAACTGCACTGTAGCATTTCTGAGTCACTGTAGCATTTCTCGTACATGAATACAGCAGCGTTTTCTGAATGACTCAATACTCAATAGCACAAAAATATCGCATATTTTAAATTCAAAAATTTGCCGATGCACCGTCACTTTGTGTTATCACCTTAAAGTAGCAATGTTTGACGCCCCCGATGAGCATGTGCCGTCGGGATTAGAGGAGCTATTTTGCCGCGTTCCCAAAGACTCCGTCGGACTGAGGTGGGTCGTGCCTATTGCGCCCATCGAGTTATAATTCAGCAGCGAATTCCCATCGATATTTTGCTTCCAAACTTATTCGGGGAAAATATATTTTGTCGATTGTTACTCTGCTTACCCCGATCACCCGATAAACGATCCATTAACAGCTTTATTTCTTTGTGTCTTGCTTGCTGTAGAAAAACCAGGTAGTGGATTAGACGCCGCAAAATGGTACAGGTCTACCGCGTACCGTGTTTGCATACAAACGCTGTCTGCTATACAGTATACTCTACTCGTTTTAACGCACCAAATAGGCATAACTTTTGTCCACGATATCGCTTTGTTTCTTGAGTACCGCTGTCGTGCAGACTTTTTCCACTTCATCAATCCAGAATCTGTAGGCATTTTCAGCGTCGCAAGAAAAGGGGCAACCTGTATCCCTGACGTCCATCATGCTCGGAGTTCGACTTCGATCTGTAGGGTGAGTTGAACTCCGTTCTGATAATCCTTCAAAATATCCAACGACGACGCACTTCTTTTATTATCTTTCCCACACTTTTACTACACTGGAAACCTATCGTAAAGCAGGTCATGTTTCTATACGAGCGCTGCGTTTTTATCGGAAGGTATACTGGACGAACTTAGCCATATCGCTTGTCTATTGTCAATCTGGGCTCATTAGTATTTGACTAGATAGGGTATTGTGTGAAAAGCTACATATAGATACCGAGCCTGGTACCAAGGCATACGAACGTGGTGTATATCAGAATTATCCTTTATCGGTCGCCATTGCCGGCATGCTGGAGCTATAATAAACTCTCAGATTGTTAGAATTTTATTACTTCGGACGCGGAACCTGTTTAACGCTCCGTGTTGCGCCTGGGCTTTCTTTACCGCCCACTTTCATATGTGCGGGTGAAAAAGAATTTACTCCAAAGGTATGCTAAAATACGAGGCGCAATACGTAGCAACAGACGAGACTGCAGTATATAACTTGAGATAACCAACAACAATTCGCAATGTCGGTTGCCATGAGAATTGTTCTTTGCTCTTTATACTGTGTTAAGTGTGTTCTAAGTACCTTGATAAATTTTAATAAAGTTTGTAAGTAACTGAATGCTTTTAAATCAATCGGAGAGCCGCAGGAAAAAAATTGTTGTCAGTTTGTGGAGTTTGTATAATATTATGCATTGACCACAGCTTCGAATTATTCGATATTCTATAGATTAGATAATACTGTGGACTTTTGGATTTCTTAAGCAGTTGATAAAAATACGCAGTAAAATGATTCAAGGGCCGAGCCCAGCGGGGATGCTAAAACCGTATTAGTCGTAAATTTAAAATTTGTAATTGTTTTCCTGGGTGTCGGCCGGATGTACAGGATAAAAATGAGTGTAAGCGATTGTAGCCGGCAGAAAGGTGGACGGGTGGATGGTGGATCTTCAATGAAGGTCATCCACCTTTCTGCAAAGGTCATCCACCTTTCTCGTCCACCATTTTTATATATCATCCACCTTTCTCATCCACCTTTTAGTAAAGGTTATCCACCTTTCTGCAAGTCATCCAACGTTCTGCCGAAGGTAACCCACCTGTTAGTCGACTATGTTAACTGTCCGCTTTCTTATATTTTGTATAAAGATTAATTAGAGCAATTGATTTTCCAGTCATTTCCACCCAATCTGGTAAATACTTGTAACTCTCGTACCAATATGATTAAAATCTTTCTATCGCTCGTATACACCTTTTCTACCAAGCGGTTTATGGAATCCGCTATTGACTGATCCAAAGTCAGCTTCATGGTGTGCATTTAGACTTATTCTACCATACCAATACCAGTTCCCGCCATAATATGCTGGGAGCAGCCGTAGCCATGCTGTAGGGTGTGACTTGTATTGTATATAGGTAATACAAATCACACCCTACAGTATGGCTACTACTAGTTACCATATGCTGTATATTATTGATGTTCCAACCATCAAGAACATGCACCTAACTAAGCACTAGCAAAACCGAGCGCAGCTTTTCGAGTTGAAGGTGAAAATACGGCAAGGTCTTCGTTTGAGTTGCCGTGTTCGCGCAACTTATACAGTTTGTCAGTAACACTTTTGCAAACTTTTGTGCACTAGGATTGATTTTACTAGTATCACGAACATTCAGTTCTGGAGCACAAACAGCAAAGCAAACTCATGTGCGGAAGTTGTACACCTAACACCGAGTGTTGTCATGCTAATAATCCTTTCTTCAGAGTTCATTCAACATTCTGCAAAGGTCATCCACCTTTCTGCAAAGGTCATCCACCTTTCTGCAAAGGTCATCAACCTTTCTGTCTTAGGTTATTTTTGTTCGATATAACTGTATTTACCTTTTCCTTCGTTCAGCAACCGATAAATGCGGCGAAATATGGTTGTTTGAGTCATCTAACGATGTTGGAAGTACTTAATTCATTAACTGACGAAATCTTGCACAAGATACTGATTATTTTTAAATAGTATTAGACTCTGCACTGAACTAGGCACATTCGTTAAAATGGCACCGAAATTGTTTCTATATAAAATTGCTCAAGAAAAATTGTTGGGTACGGTTAAGTAACGAAACAGCGATAATTAAGTTACAGAGGTCACAGAAGAAAGAGCAGGCACAAAGAAAACGGAATTGGCAATCATCATTCACTTCGAACAGCAAATTCAGTTAGGAGAATATCATTATTTTTCAGCTTTGCAAAGCCTGCATGTAGCTTTCCACCGCGAACCATTCCTGCTGGACTTCCTGTACAGCACTTCAATCATGCGCAATTAACAGACATTTTTCAAGATATTTGGCGCCGTTATTAGCGAATATCAGATCTTCTGTCATCAGTAAATGAATGGCTTACAAAAGCGTTGCACGACTGCATTACAAGCAAGCATTTCCGCGCATTTACCGTTAGATGGTCGAAGCTAAAACTGGATGCACTGCTTAGAACGTAAATAACCCAAGACAGAAATAATTATGACCTTTAGAGAAAGGTGGATTACCGTCGGCAGAAAGGTGGATGACCTTTAGAGAAAGGTGGATGACCTTAATAGAAAGGTGGACTACCATAACAACACTCACTTAAAGTGCTGCAGTGTTCCCACTTAGTTTGCCTTGCTGTCCGTGGTCCAGAATTGAACTGTTCGTGATGCAAGGAGTCTTGTGCAAAAAAGTTTGCAAAAACATTTTCTATACGTAAGTTGCGCGAACACGGCAACCAGTACGAGGACGCTGCTGTATTTTCGCCTTCATCTCGAAGAGCCACGCTCCGTTCTGCCAATGCGCAATGAGAAGCATTTTCCGGATAGGTGCAGCCCAGCACATGGTACAAGACAGACCATACACTATGGCCACGGCCGGTCTGCGGCCGGTCAGCGCACGCATTGTGACCGGAAATGGTATTCCAAATTTCATACCTAAATGTCTTCAGAGACACACCAGGACGCCGACTGTAGATTAGTGACTACCAGAAACAGCTTGGCAGAAATGGTGTGTACGACTGCTAGAATAATTTAGTCATATTGATACGAGAGTTGTTTACCAGAAAGGGTAGCAATTACTAAAAAACTGTTGTAATGAATAAGCTGAAAGAAAGTAGATACATATGTTCGACAATCGACAGAAAGGTGGATGACTTTGCAGAAAGGTGGATAATCTTTACAAAAGGTGGATGAGAAAGGTGGATGACCTTTACAAAAAGGTGGATGAGAAAGGTGGATGACCTTTGCAGAAAGGTGGATGACCTTCATTGAAGATCCACCATCACCCGTCCACCTTCCTGCCGGCTACAAGCGATCAGTTTAATAAGCTTTTGTTTTTCTTATTGCTTTTCTAATTTTACACTATCCCAGTTGAATCCGTCCGCAGTATTCTAAAAGCTTAAGATGCCGCGGTTACCAAACTTACCTTACGCGCCCTCTCAAACCTTTCTGCTGTTCGCTGTCATTGACGTCGAAGTCGCGCATTTAAAAGCCATGTCGACACCCGAATCTGGATACCGGATCCACGCGTTACCGGCTTCCGAAACGAGAAAGACTGCAAAGTACGCGTAGCTTCAGCCGAGATACAACTTTATGGCCGCAACTTTGAAATGCTTTTTTATGGACCTTGAAGAGGCGGAGCCAAGAACCTGCAGTTGATAAAGCAGGACACCATATCGCAGTCGCCACAGGATGACACAACGCCACGCGAAAGAATTTTGCCGGCAGAGGATTTCCATTCAGATACAAAGAGGAAGCGCTGTGTGCGGGATGGGCAGTGGGCACACTACCGGATCACGAAAACTTATAGGAAATATTTTTGCTTTTGCTTCTTATTTAAATGCTGCTGTTTCAGCACCAGTTTCTCTTCTACTTCCAAATCCGATATGCGAATGATTGTTAATTCTTCCAACATTTAAATATTTTGCAATTGTTTTTTGAAATTTGTTGAAGTGATGGTTTTACAATTAAACGTCTGGCATTTAATACAGCCTTAACAAAAGGCTGTATTAAATGCGCTACCCTAATTTTTTTGGTTAATTAGCCATTAATGGATTACATTAATAACCTTATTTAGTAGTCAATTGCACAGTCTTATCAAAGCGCGAACTGGATGCAGTTGATTAAGAAGTCAACTTGCTATATTCAAAGCTTTTATATATGTAGTTGCAACAAAATCTTAGCTTGCTTCACTCTGTCGCTTATCAAGCATCAAACGCAGTTGAAACGGTCACTCATTCCGCTGGAATCGGTACAGCATGGCCAAGGTAAGTACCCACAACGTCAGAGTGGACAGCGAAGTCATTTCTAAATCAAACAGCTCTTCGGCGGCCCAGTTAAACTTCCAACGGTAGCGATTCGTTACACGGGGATCGTTGGCTTGATAGGTTTTCAAAATCTGGAGAAGTAAGTAATAAATTACGAAGCCCCAAACTCTGCGCGAATTCTGACGTTATTCAGAATTTAAATAACAATTCCTACCTGTTTAACTTTGGCGCTAGTGAAAGATATTTCGTCGGTTCGCGCTTCGTTGGCAATCCACTGCATCAAGCCGGAGCCACTCAGCGGGATCCAGTGTTTCTTCCACGACAAATTCCGCTCGACCAGCGCATACAACTCCGTCTGCATCTCCAACAGCGTCCCGTGGATCGCTGTGACGTCATGCACCATAGTGCACTCGCTATGTTTGCCGCCAATACCGCGAAAGCGACAGTTGCGCCAGACGATGCGGTCAACGGTGGCGGCAGCGCCGACACATGTCTGGGCCAGCATCTCCACCTCCATGGAGAACCCGCCTTCACCAAAGTCCCAAAGACAGCGGTTTGCCACAACCTACCACAAAAAAAGCGGACGCTGCGCGACTGAACGCTTAACCGATTTCTCATTTCATGCAGTGCTAGAAAAAATCAGGACCAGCAGGAGTCACATTGTCGCCTGACTGTTTGAAGTCGTGACGGTAACCGACGACCTGCACTAACTACGTAGTACAAATTTTTGAAATTTTTTTACTAGTACTTTTAAAATGCACTTTGGAAAGGACAGGGCCATGGTAAATTTTACGAAAATTTACTGAACCTGGTTCTGGTGCAGAATCGGCTTCATATACTGATAAGTCTAACAAATTTTTCAAGGATAGCATGTACATTTTATAACGCTGGGCCGTCTGGGCACCATTCGTATCCTCGACAGGAACAGCGGTAACCCGGATGAAGGCTTTAATGCCGAAATCTGACATGCGCACCGCGGCGCAGCAAACACCAGACTAACGAGGAAGGATTCTGCAGCCAGCGCAGCCGTGCTGCAGATCCATCATCCACCGAAACACCGAAGAAATGCAGGACGTGGGTATCCCCAGAAACAGCGAATGGCAGAAGGGCAGGGCTGAGCCATGACCATATGTAAGCGGCGTAAGCCCGCCCTTACAATATCAAGATTCAGATCTATATTGCCACGAATGGGATACACCAGAGCCGGCAAACCAGAAAAGAATGACCAAAACCAATATTATATTCTGAAAGCCCGTAGTCGAAAACCCGGCCAGATGGTATTCATTTCTTTTAAAACCTCTCCCGCTTCGAGCGCCACAGCGGAAGAGTTTTCACTACCTTCACCAAATGTAACTAAATTATTATAATAATAATTATCGTCGTGGTATTTTTAACCAGGCAATGTTGCCACGTAAACCAAATAAAATATAGTTAAAAAATGAAAGTATTTTCCACTAATTAAAATATCAGAATCAATTTAATTAGCAGACCGTTGGGCGTTGGCGTTATTGCGACAAGAACGACTACATATCCAACGTTGTCATCGAGGACAATTTCTAAACAAGTGCCGGCCAACCAGCGATAGACAAAACTACCGCCACTGTTCAGTGCAGAAGCCCGTTAGTTGACCGAAATACCACTACATTCTAGTTAAAATAGCCCGCTAAGCCAGTGAGTGGCCGAACTGCCACTATATATAGCTATGTGAGCGGTTGACCAAGCTGTAATTACTGTCGGATGCCGAGTGATTGAGTGACCGAGCTGTCACTACTTTTCAGTGTAAAAAGCCCGTTAGGGAACGAGCGACCGAGTTACCACTACTGTCCGGTGCACAGAGCCCGGTAGGAGAGCGGATGACCGCGCTGTCACTAATGTCCGGCGCAGAAAGTCCGTTATACCGGGCTACCAATGCAGTCCGGCGCAGGAAGCCCGGGAGGTGAGCAGGTGACCGAGCTGTCCAGTGTACGAAGCCCGTTAGGTGAGCGGGTGACCGAGCTACCACTGCTGTCCGGCGCAGAAAGCCCGGGAGGTGAGCGGGTGACCGAGCTGTCACTACTGTCAGTGTACAAAGTCCGTTAGTTGAGCGTGTGACCGAGCTACCACTGCTGTCCGGCGCAGAAAGCCCGGGAGGTGATACGAGTGACCCAGCTGTCACTACTGTCAGTGTACAAAGTCCGTTGGTTGAGCGGGTGACCGAGCTACCACTGCTGTCCGGCGCAGAAAGCCCGGGAGATGAGCATGTGACCGAGCTGTCACTACTGTCCAGTGTACAAAGTCCGTTGGTTGAGCGGGTGACCAAGCTACCACTGCTGTCCGGCACAGAAAGCCCGGGAGATGAGCAGGTGACCGAGCTGTCACTACTGTCCAGTGTACAAAGTCCGTTAGTTGAGCGTGTGACCGAGCTACCACTGCTGTCTGGCGCAGAAAGCCTGGAGGTGAGCGGGTGACCGAGCTGTCACTAATGTCCAGTGTACAAAGCCCGTTAGGTGAGCGGGTGACCGAGCTACCACTGCTGTCCGGCGCAGAAAGCCCGGAGGTGAGCGGGTGACCGAGCTGTCACTACTGTCAGTGTACAAAGTCCGTTAGTTGAGCGTGTGACCGAGCTACCTCTGTTGTCCGGCGCAGAAAGCCCGGAGGTGAGCGGGTGACCGCGCTGTCACTACTGTCCAGTGTACAAAGCCCGTTAGGTGAGCGGGTGACCGAGCTACCACTGCTGTCCGGCGCAGAAAGCCCGGGAGGTGATACGAGTGACTGAGCTGTCACTACTGTCAGTGTACAAAGTCCGTTGGTTGAGGGGGTGACCGAGCTACCACTGCTGTCCGGCGTAGAAAGCCCGGGAGATGAGCATGTGACCGAGCTGTCACTACTGTCAGTGTACAGAGTCCGTTGGTTGAGCGGGTGACCGAGCTACCACTGCTGTCCGGCACAGAAAGCCCGGGAGGTGAGCGGGTGACCGCGCTGTCACTACTGTCCAGTGTACAAAGCCCGTTGGTTGAGCGTGTGACCGAGCTACCACTGCTGTCCGGCGCAGAAAGCCCGGGAGGTGAGCGGGTGACCGCGCTGTTACTACTGTCCAGTGTACAAAGCCCGTTAGGTGAGCTGGTGACGGAGCTACCACTGCTGTCCGGCGCAGAAAGCCCGGGAGATGAGCAGGTGACCGAGCTGTCACTACTGTTCAGTGTACAAAGTCCGTTGGTTGAGGCGTGTGACCGAGCTACCACTGCTGTCCGGCGCAGAAAGCCCGGAGGTGAGCGGGTGACCGCGCTGTCACTACTGTCCAGTGTACAGAGCCCGTTGGTTGAGCGGGTGACCGAGCTACCACTGCTGTCCGGCACAGAAAGCCCGGGAGATGAGCAGGTGACCGAGCTGTCACTACTGTCCAGTGTACAAAGTCCGTTAGTTGAGCGTGTGACCGAGCTACCACTGCTGTCCGGCGCAGAAAGCCCGGGAGGTGAGCGGGTGACCGCGCTGTCACTACTGTCCAGTGTACAAAGCCCGTTAGGTGAGCGGGTGACCGAGCTACCACTGCTGTCCGGCGCAGAAAGCCCGGGAGATGAGCAGGTGACCGAGCTGTCACTACTGTCCAGTGTACAAAGTCCGTTAGTTGAGCGTGTGACCGAGCTACCACTGCTGTCCGGCGCAGAAAGCCCGGGAGGTGAGCGGGTGACCGCGCTGTCACTACTGTCCAGTGTACAAAGCCCGTTAGGTGAGCGGGTGACCGAGCTACCACTGCTGTCCGGCGCAGAAAGCCCGGGAGGTGAGCGGGTGACCGAGCTGTCACTACTGTCCAGTGTACAAAGCCCGTTGGTTGAGCGGGTGACCGAGCTACCACTGCTGTCCGGCGCAGAAAGCCCGGGAGGTGAGCGGGTGACCGCGCTGTCACTACTGTCCAGTGTACAAAGCCCGTTAGATGAGCGGGTGACCGAGCTACCACTGCTGTCCGGCGCAGAAAGCCCGGGAGATGAGCAGGTGACCGCAGCTGTCACTACTGTCCAGTGTACAAAGTCCGTTAGTTGAGCGTGTGACCGAGCTACCACTGCTGTCCGGCAAAGAAAGCCCGGGAGGTGAGCGGGTGACCGCGCTGTCACGGCTGTCCAGTGTACAAAGCCCGTTAGGTGAGCGGGTGACCGAGCTACCACTGCTGTCCGGCGCAGAAAGCCCGGGGAGGTGATACGAGTGACCGAGCTGTCACTACTGTCAGTGTACAAAGTCCGTTGGTTGAGCGGGTGACCGAGCTACCACTGCTGTCCGGCGCAGAAAGCCCGGGAGATGAGCAGGTGACCGAGCTGTCACTACTGTCCAGTGTACAAAGTCCGTTAGTTGAGCGGGTGACCGAGCTACCACTGCTGTCCGGCGTAGAAAGCCCGGGAGGTGAGCGGGTGACCGCGCTGTCACTACTGTCCAGTGTACAAAGTCCGTTAGTTGAGCGTGTGACCGAGCTACCACTGTTGTCCGGCGCAGAAAGCCCGGGAGGTGAGCGGGTGACCGCGCTGTCACGTACTGTCCAGTGTACAAAGCCCGTTAGGTGAGCGGGTGACCGAGCTACCACTGCTGTCCGGCGCAGAAAGCCCGGGAGATGAGCAGGTGACTGAGCTGTCACTACTGTCCAGTGTACAAAGCCCGTTAGTTGAGCGGGTGACCGAGCTACCACTGCTGTCCGGCGCAGAAAGCCCGGGAGATGAGCGGGTGACCGAGCTGTCACTACTGTCCAGTGTACAAAGCCCGTTGGTTGAGCGGGTGACCGAGCTACCACTGCTGTCCGGCGTAGAAAGCCCGGGAGATGAGCAGGTGACCGAGCTGTCACTACTGTCCAGTGTACAAAGTCCGTTGGTTGAGCGGGTGACCAGCTAGCTGTAAGCTGTCACTACTGTCAGTGTACAAAGTCCGTTAGTTGAGCGGGTGACCGAGCTACCACTGCTGTCCGGCGTAGAAAGCCCGGGAGATGAGCAGGTGACCGAGCTGTCACTACTGTCCAGTGTACAAAGTCCGTTAGTTGAGCGTGTGACCGAGCTACCACTGCTGTCCGGCGCAGAAAGCCCGGGAGGTGAGCGGGTGACCGCGCTGTCACTACTGTCAGTGTACAAAGCCCGTTGTTGAGCGGGTGACCGAGCTTCCACTGCTGTCCGGCGCAGAAAGCCCGGGAGATGAGCAGGTGACCCAGCTGTCACTACTGTCCAGTGTACAAAGTCCGTTGGTTGAGCGGGTGACCAAGCTACCACTGCTGTCCGGCACAGAAAGCCCGGGAGATGAGCAGGTGACCGAGCTGTCACTACTGTCCAGTGTACAAAGTCCGTTAGTTGAGCGTGTGACCGAGCTACCACTGCTGTCTGGCGCAGAAAGCCCGGGAGGTGAGCGGGTGACCGAGCTGTCACTAATGTCCAGTGTACAAAGCCCGTTAGGTGAGCGGGTGACCGAGCTACCACTGCTGTCCGGCGCAGAAAGCCCGGGAGGTGAGCGGGTGACCGAGCTGTCACTACTGTCAGTGTACAAAGTCCGTTAGTTGAGCGTGTGACCGAGCTACCTCTGTTGTCCGGCGCAGAAAGCCCGGGAGGTGAGCGGGTGACCGCGCTGTCACTACTGTCCAGTGTACAAAGCCCGTTAGGTGAGCGGGTGACCGAGCTACCACTGCTGTCCGGCGCAGAAAGCCCGGGAGGTGATACGAGTGACTGAGCTGTCACTACTGTCAGTGTACAAAGTCCGTTGGTTGAGCGGGTGACCGAGCTACCACTGCTGTCCGGCGTAGAAAGCCCGGGAGATGAGCATGTGACCGAGCTGTCACTACTGTCAGTGTACAGAGTCCGTTGGTTGAGCGGGTGACCGAGCTACCACTGCTGTCCGGCACAGAAAGCCCGGGAGATGAGCAGGTGACCGAGCTGTCACTACTGTCCAGTGTACAAAGTCCGTTAGTTGAGCGTGTGACCGAGCTACCACTGCTGTCCGGCGCAGAAAGCCCGGGAGGTGAGCGGGTGACCGCGCTGTTACTACTGTCCAGTGTACAAAGCCCGTTAGGTGAGCTGGTGACGGAGCTACCACTGCTG